TATGATTTTCAGCATGTCACCGAGATCCACGGTGAAGAAGGTCTATACAGATTACGGTACCTACTAAATATAAAAATATCGACTGAGAAATTAATATAATCATAGTGTACACTGGAATAATTAGGGGGCTTATATTTTATTATATATTATTTATTATATACTTTTGAAAATGATCAATGTTTTTTACTTGACATTTTGAACTAACAAGATCCTCATTTCACTTACACCGACTTCAAGAGCATCAAAATGCAAAGAAATTTTAAATTTAATTAAGAATGATTAAATCTTGGTATTATAAATACTTTACAGTTGTTAAATAAATATACCATAAATGAGTTACAAACAAGTACATAGGTACAAATAGAACATATATTATAAAGTTGATGAAAATTGGTTTACTGCAGATCGTCCCAAAGCTTTTAGTAAATTACTCTCTTAGAAAATTACAAATCAAACAAACATCTCATCAGCGTTAAGTAATAATAAAATACTATTGAGTCTTACTTGACATTTTCTATAGCCCGGGGCTAGAACACTAATAAGTAAAATAACCCATATTCCGTTATTAAACATATAAAAAAATATCGAATGATACAATTCAAAATAAAAATAAATTGAAACATATTGGTACGACATGAATAGTATTTTATCAGCAAATATCGTATGAGTCTTAATGATAAATACTAAATAATATGTAGGTATATATTATACAATTATTGCAATTAAGCCCGAAATTCAATCGTATATGATTAACAAAACGAAATTGCGTCATTTTGCAGTTATTGCTATAATTTATTGACTCGGTTTACAGTTATTCGCGTAGAGCTCGACATTATAAATAAAATTGTATTATTCTACCTTCAACCCCAACAAATGACCCATGTAGCCAGGTACCTACTTATTATATATACATTGATTATATCGAAGATGAAAATTAAAAACTTATATATTCCTTGAAATACCTAATGGCATTTTAAACTATCAATACTAAGTCGATTTCAATATAATATATCTAAACGGGTTGTCTCCTGCTATAAAAACGTGTATTTTTCGACTGTTGAGCCATCACGCATTTTTTTTTAAAGTTATACGCCGAAATTAAGTTTCCAACATATCGTGTATATTATAACTTGTGAAAGTACCCACTGCCTTAACGTGTTATATGTAATACAAGTATGATATCATCATGGCATAAACGTATATTATGCATGCATAGCTATATAGATGTGTGGCACAGATACAATAATATATGTCTTGCGTAGCATTTATGGACACGAAAACTAATGACCATACACTGTGGCATGCAATGGGTACGTACTAACCTAATAATTATGAAATATAAACATAATAACTAGAACATTTATATTTTATTTTATTTTTAATGTGAAATAATAATTGATACATTATAATATGTCTATATATATATAGAAAATAACTACTTGCTATTACCTATAGATAGTAATATTAATTTCATAACAATATTTTTGTGAGGAAAAAATAACTTATAAGACATAACCATTACAAAGATGCTATCTAGAACACAATAATAAATACATTATATTTTTATTTTTTGAAAATCTAGTGTGGGCACTTTATACGTATGCCACTTTTAAATTATATTGTCGGTAGGTAGACTGATGGTTTAGAGTTCCAAGAGTCGAAACGTATGGTACTTTGTGGTGCCTCGATTATCGTTTGGACGAAGGTATATATAATATGTGAGTTTTCGCAGACCGAGCTATATAAAATGACCCGCTTCCGGCGGTTGATTTATCTTCAGAAAATTTCGCCTCTCTCCACCCGGCGGCGGTGCGACGACAACGATAGGTGGTAAATTGGCACCTATACTATACCTTTTATATATTTTTATATATATTATATAATATCATAAGATACGTATCCGAACGAGTTGCACGTAGTGATTCAATGGCAAATCGTTCGATAGCGTTGTACACAGTATATACGTAGATAAGGACAGATACATGATTTTATACAGAGTGATTCACCAAGTTCACTACAATTTTTCCTTTAATAATAAATGTATTTAACTCCTGAAATTAAGAATATTTAAGTACCATATATTCAGTTATTTAGAGTTTTATGCCATTTAAGGACTGTCCTGCGTGGCGATACAAACTTCTTTTTTTTTCAAATACAGATGAACATATTTTACTGTAAACTGTTAACAGTTTTTTTTTTTTATGTTGATGTATAATGTACTATATTGTATCCAAATTTAATTTCAAACAATTAATTTCTGAGTTGAAATTAAAATGTATTTACTGTTTACTAAAGATAATAGTCCTTAAAAATGGTTTTAGAAAAATTAAAAACTAAAGTTACATTCAATCTTGTATTTATTATATTCTAGTAAGACATCCCAACAAATAATAAAATGTTAATGAATAAATATTAATAACTAATATTTTCAAATTATTGAACCCCAAAATTAAAAATTTACAAGAAAAACAATTGTTTTCAATAAAGTGATTCTAATTTGAAAAACGGAGTGCTGTCGCAATATTTTTATTCTAGGACACTGCTTACATTGTATAAAAAATCTAAGTATTTTAAAATATGATCCTTAAGTATAAATACCATGAATTTGAATAAATCCATTAAAGGAAAACTAGTGGTGAGCATACCTATACTAGTGAATCACTCTGTATAATAATATGAGAGACATTTCCGGCCAAAACTGACACATTATAACGATATCAAATACATACACAACACTCAAAACATATTTTTTACACGCATATACTTGTAACTCAGCTCTCTCTCTCTTTATGTTTATATATATACAACGTACGACTTGAGGGTACAGTGAGTGAATTTATACGGCTCTAAATATTCCGGAGAGGATGCTCATTACAATAACAAATTGTAAACGCCGAGACTGTCACATCTGCGGCCGGAAAACCAGACGTGACGGCGACGCGCGAAAACAATACAAAAAAATTCGGGACGATACCCAAACCGCAAACATTAAAATGTTGAACGTTCTGTACATATTCTTTCACCATCACTTGGATAATGTCACGATACGATTTTTTGCATTACACGAGCGCGTGCACGAATATTATAGCGTTCGGGTAAAAAAAATATTCGCCAGGCGGTTTTTAAACATTAATTAAAGAATTTAATTGGACTTGGTGAATTTTATACCTATATCCACCTGGTTGACCAAATTTGTTTGTTAATGGTTTTTAAAATTAAATTAAATCACCTTCACAAAAAACTAAATAACCATATTTAAATGTACGTCCCAAATACACCAACAATGATCCATTATTGTTGTTTTACAATTTAATATAGTAAGTTATTACTGGTAAAATAAGAAAATTCTTAAACAATGTTTCTGTTATATAATTGCATGTATTATCAATCCTATAAAAAGCTACACACGTAATACAATTATTACATCATTTTTATAGACATAATGATTTGTAAATTAAATAATACTCAACGTAAGTCAATGGACACAACTTATTGCTGTACAGAAATAACACAAAAGCTTACAATTAAGCTGGTAAGCTGGGGTGATATAGTAAATAATAGAATGGCTTGTCTAAAGTATATTTTGTTAAATTATTTTTTTTTTTAGTTGTGAAATATTAAATATTATTATAAACGGAATACATATCATATGCATGTGTATGTATATGTTATAACGTGTGTATACCCATATATTTAATTAAAGAATAAAAAAAAATGTATAATATTAAAATTATTACAATTGTATAATATAATACATTCATCACACTGGTGCTATAAAATATAATTTTTTTTACTCACGAGTTTTCTATTATGACGTTTTTGGAGTCGGTGTCTTGTCCTAATAACCTGACCTCCCCCAAATTAGTATTATCTTACAAAGGGTTAACTTCCAGCCCACAATAGTTATTTAAATAATTTTATAAGAAACGAATTGGTACCTAATTATGTATGTTATTTTCAAAGTTCAGTTATGTCCTGTTACTACTCTACCATATACAATTCCGAATACATAATGAAACATATGTTAATTTATCTTTTGTATAGTAAAATATGCGTGAATGTAATTCGTTATAAAATATGTTGAGAAAGTTTTAGGGATTGAAAATTTAAAATACCATAAATGAATAAACGGCATAGAGAAGAAACTCACGTTTTGGATGAAATACATTTACTAGTCATATTTCTTTTTACAAGAAAGGAAAATATTAAATAAAATATGAAAAATCTAATTTATAAAGCCGAAAAACACTTACAAGTTAAATGAAAAATTGATGTTTCCAACAAATATCAGAATATATTAAAAACAAACAATAATGTACATACTATTATGTATATTAGATCATTTTTAAGAATTACGTATTAATATTTTAATAATATTATTATAAATTAATATTGAAGTTTATAATACTAATACAAGAATTATTATTTAATTAATTATTAATAAATATCAGTATCTATAATACCTATTATACATTATATTATTTATTTAATTAATGTTCGTTATTTTGAGTAAGTAAGTTAAGTGTATGCGAATCAATAAATAAAACAATGCAATATATTTCAATAGCGTAATTATTATCATGTTTATCACGTTATTTTCAAATTATGGAAGTACCTAGTATCTACATGGAATACCAAAAACTCGTAAATGTTGCACGAGAAAGTATAAATTGTATATACAATTTATTTTCCTTACGTTTCAACATTGTGGTTGTAGCGGTAGAAAAGCATATATTATTCGAACAAAAAAAGAATTCGAGGTACCAAGGTATAAAATGTATGTACATATATATTATTTTTTATTTCCAAATTAATCGCAAATACCATATTTCCAAACCATTGGGTATCCGTTTAGAAGATAATAGAGAGCAATAAATCAGCTCCAAGGTATATAAATCCAGATTTTTATTCCATTCCGGTAAAAAAAAGATATTTCCCTATTATAACATATCGAACAAGTTCAATCATAATATTCTACATATTTTTATACAAACACTTACCCGTCTGAGATTTCCTTCTTTTAACATTAGATCTGGTGACGGGGAACCTCCATACGACGATTGCTGAAACAATTAAAAATTTATTATGAAATATGAAATATATAAAAAAAGATGTTAAGTATTTGCAAAAATATAATAACCATTAAAACAATATTTTTGATCAATTTAAAAGATAAAAAATAAATGATAAATTGTTTGAACATTAAAACTATATCAGTGTTATAGAACAAATTATATTACAATTTAAGTGTGAAATAATTTTTTATTTACTTATAAAACAAATTTTGACAACACTCGTGTACGAATATACTATAGGTAATGTGTGAAAAACAATTCAACAGTTTCAAATCAAATAATACCACCATATTAATGATTATACTATATTATTATTTAATATTTTAATTACAAATATAGTTTAAATATGAATAAAATTATACAAGCAGTTTATTTATTTATTTGTAGTTTATTAATGAAATCCCTGGCTCCAACCTATGGGCTATGACATTTACTCGAAACGATATATCATCATTCAAATGTCTTAAAATTGTATATATATCATATACATAGAAACAATTAGTCTCTTAATCGGTATTTTATAGTATAACCGATACGAAATATTTGAGAAAAATACACGTTAATTAATTTTTAAAACTAAAAAATATTTATTCGTTCACAGGTGTATATTTTATAACGTATTGAGATGCTCATGGTACAATTACAAATTATTATTAATCTACCTACCTATCGAAAATCATAAGTTTTTGAAATGTATTAAAATTAAAAACTGTAATATTCTATAAGAACTATATTTTCAAATATTATGCTGTAGTTACAATATACCTACTAAGAAATTCTATTAAACAGTCTATTAATACAACCACCTACATCAATCCTCTGATTACACTTAATCAACATGATTTTTAAAATAGGTACAATACATTTCAGAGATCCGGCACATTTTTCATCTTTAACACACGCGTCATATATATCTCAATACTGAGTATAACAACCGCCGCCATTGGAAGCATTTTCCTATTATTACGTGGCATCAAAAATACATGAATACCACCACCCTTCGATCGCCCTCCTCGACGGTAGCATTCGTCATCTAATGTGATTTGATGGAATTTCCACATTGTTTGGCGCAAAACGAGTTTCGCATCAATTCCGTGGCACGAAATTACCAGTGTTTCCCGACCTTCTTTTCCCGAGGGATATCGTTGGTGAAATTCACACATAATATTCAAGCAGCATTTCCAAGTGCTAACAGGATCATTTGTAAACGTCGGATGAGCATATTTGAAATTTATAACACTTAAAAAAAATACAAATAACAATATTCAAGGATATAAATATTTAATAAATATTAGCATATTTTTGCCTCAAACGTTCTAAATCTAAAAGAAAATTATAAACGTTTCAACAACTTTTTTTCATCTTAAATATATTTTTTCTTAGGTGAAGATGGTTCTAAAATTTATAAACGTACATATAACTAAAAATAATAAACAACACAAAAATCACGAAAAATTGTAAATTAAATTTTGTTGTTAAGAATTCATACAAAAGTGTTGAAAATTAAATACGTGTTTTTTAAATTTTTGTCATTTTTCTTTACTCACTTTAGTGATACATAAAATGTATAACCATCACCAGTGAATTTTAAAGTACCTATATACGAGAATTTATATTGTATATTTTATAGGTAAACTTTACTCAAGAGGCGAAAGTCAAGTTGTAGGGCATTATTGATCACATATAAGGAGACTAAATAAATTCTAGAACGTTCATGATGATTTATTTATTAAAGTGAAAATAAGAATAAATTAATAAAATAAAAATGTTATATATTAAAAGGTTATAGAAAACCATACAGTATCGAATTCTAAAAATAATATTATAAAATTAAAGAAATTCGAAACTAAACGTTCATACCAGTTTCAAGGTGTTTGAAAAATGTGCCAGGTGCAGTTACATAAATATTGGATTTTGGAAGTTTAATTTTTGAAAATATTGTAAGTTGAAATATACAATAATATATTTGGTTCTTTGAGGTAAGAAAAAATGTACAAATGTGTGTATATATATGGTCGTATAAATATACATATAAATGTATAATATAACTAGTTTATGTAAAATCAATCAAAAATAAAATAAAATAAAACTCAAGAAAAAAACCTCAAAACAATGAATTTATCTTATCAGAGAATAAGTTCTTTGTAAAATAGTTGTTCAAGTTTGAAATTAATGGATTTAAACACATTCAGGTTCAAATAAATATCAAAACTTTAAAGAGGTTATAAAAATACTGTAGCATCCCCCACCCCCGGGGCATGTCAGAAACCTACGGGTGCCCCATTCGAAATTCTGCCAAATCAAACACACACGTGTTCCCCCCTACCGTCCCAAAAACCTACAATACAAACCTATACAACACAAACCTACAATACCTACTCAACAGCTAATGGCCACAGTTGCCGGGCTCAAGATCAATAAATAAAAAATACTGTAGAAAAAAGTAATCTTATATCAAAAACACAGACGTCTATTATTCAGAATAACTGAAAACGAAGTGTTAAGTTTTTAGTTTTAAAAATTATAGAATAAGATGAAAAATATAAGAACAGAATAATAAACACCCATATAGATTAAAGGCTACAGTACTTATTTATATTGTGTATCACTCGTTTTTCACAACTGATCCTGACACAAGGTATTTTTGCCCATAATAAATTATAGAGGATAATATGATATGTCATTTTAAAAAAACATAAAATATTAATACAAATTCATTTTTGAAATTGCATGTGCTAAAAAAAGTACCAAAATAACTATGGCTAAATTAGTATCTTTAAAATTATTGTAACTATTAATTTTATAAACTTGATTTCAAATACATTCTTACAGCGTAAGCAAAATAACTGATAAATCAAATTTAAAAAAGCCGGTCTTTAAATATATTATTGGTTGTTTGGACCAATTGTCTCAAGTCATTTACCTCGATGTAAAATAGAGTTGTAATAGTAATGTAATAAAAATTATCCACTAAATATTTATTGAGACGAGCATTAAGTATACAAGTTGTTTGATTACGGCCCTTATCGAGAATAGAATTCGGATTGTTCACAATCATATATTTCTCGCTTCAACCTTTCAGTAATTGAACTTTTAAGTTTCTTCTGTCACAAAACTCTTTGTTTGATATACATATATATATATATATATAGGGATATTTTTTTTTGTCTTCTTGACAGTAAGTCAGGCAGTTTTGACATTCAACACAAGAAACGTGACACTATACTCCTGTCTTAAATCCAGTACAGTATTCTAACTTTCAAACAAGAACTATAAAAATCTATAATTTGAGCTCCCGTGTTGTTGAAAAAAACTACGAATAAAACCACTAATCACTGAGATAAATTTATAGTTATTTCAAATGTCATTTTCGGAAGATGTTTTAAAAAAAAATTTAACAATTAAAGGTGATACTCGTATCTCTATGATACACTACTAAATGTAACTCTAAACTATTTTCCGGTATTTGAGAGGTTATTACGATATTATGTTTCTAGTATACCTGCATAATCAGTTATCCATAATATCATAATCAGTAAAATTATATCTCTATAATATTTCTTATACTTAAAGTTGAATAATAGAAGCATTTATTTTAAACTTAAAACAACTTTTTTAATCATTGTTAGTGACAAACAATTTTAAAAAGTATTTTATGAACTTAAGTTCAAAATAGTTATGCTTAATCTTGTTATAAGCAATTTAAAATGCAAGAAGAAAAAAGATTATTTATTAATTCGTAACTGACCTCAAAAACATAGGAGATAAAATCGAGTGTAAAGATCAAGCGAGAACTGAAAAACATTGACCTGAATTTAATTTAATTTAGAAATGTGACCTAATAAAGAGTAAAAATGACATCAAGAAACAATCAATTTAAATTAGGTATTTTTTATCTTTTTTTATTCTTAACTAAAAAAGTAAAAATACTAAAACTTTATATTAAATTACTTGTAGGTAAATAATACTAATATTTTGATAATGATTCAAAATCACTTTTTTTTTAATATAAGTTTATGACATGTTTATTAAATATTATGAATAAATTCATGTTATCGACGCATACATACGTTAAATATGCCAATTGAATACAATGTAGGGATAATTTGAAATTCGAGTATATCTATTAAATTGAATATTATTATTCGATGGCCAACAAGACCGCTAGAGAGACATTTAATCAGCACTCATTGTTAACCAGTAGAAGCGAGCATAATATTAAACCAAGCATTGTTGTCGTGCAAGATAAATAACATAGTACAATCACATTCCTGTCAGATACTAGTTGTAAACCTCGCTTGTTGATAATTCTAAGAACACGAGACCGATCAGGCGATGCTTCACAGAATTCGCCATTCGGGCACTGATCGTTGTATATAAAGTGATCAATGATCAATGGCCGACTCCATTACATCACCACCATTTAAAAATTGGACAAAAGAGCAGAAGGGATTATAATTAATTCACCCTGACTAACTTCAGAATCATGGCACATAGATAAGAGACAGCTTTCCGACTTACTTCAGCTGTATCAATAGACAACTAAGATTACCGCATTCTGATGCAATGCCTTTGATCATTTCTAATTAAAAATAATTATAGTAATTTTTGTTTTTAAATATTAATTTACAAATACGTACATTACAATTACACAAATATTATAACAATAGGTGCAAATCAACTATACAGTAAATATATTCATTAATTGTTCGTAAGTATAAATATAATTATAATACATTATACCTACTTCTAATAGACTAATCAAATTTTCCCGATATGTACCATAACAAAATTAATTATGACATAAACCTACAAATATTTGTTTATAATAATTAAATTATATTCATAACATGGAAAACAACAATCAGCGAATTTAAATAATATTTTTCAATCTTTAAAACAGTTAAAACGCATCCATAGTAAGTATTAAATACATTAATTTTATCAATAATAGAATAAGTTTTCAGACTAAATAGTACTTCACTTTA